GGACCATCCAGCGTTACGTAGAATAAGCTAAATAACCAAATCAATACCAACCTCCCATCCCCCAGCCTTTTCTTCCACTCGCATCATTTCCCCGACTCCCACTTTCCCGAGACTCATTCGCATCTCCACCAGGATAAGGCTGGTGGCCAGGCCCCGGTCCCTGGGTCGTATGGGGGCTCGGGGAATGGTAAGATCCAGATTGTGGCAGGTAGGGTGGATGTGGATTAGGAGGGTATTGTGGCGCAACGGCACCAGCAGGAGGTTGGAAGCCTGGGTAGCTCATGGTCATAGGCAATGGGGGTGGAGGTGGTGGGAATGGTGGCGTCGTGCTCGAATGTTGAGGAAGAGGTGGTGGCGGCGGCGGCCAGGCTCCATGATAGCCTGGAGGCCTTGGAGGAGGTGGGGGAATGAACATACCACCAGGACCGGGTACCGTTGGAGGGTGGGGAGGTGGTAATTGTTGCGAGCCACGGAAGGGGTATGGCATTTGTGGAAGAGGGATATGTGGAGTTGTTCCTGGGGGAGGGAAAAGCGCATTCTGGTGCTTCGAAGGAATGCGAGGTGGTGATAATGGGCGAGGAGAGTAAGATTTCGATCTTGACCGTGATCTTGGGCGTCCTGAGCGGTGCAGCGTCGTGCGGGAACGGGAGCGGGATAGGGAGCGCGAGTACGAGGCGCTTCGACTGCGGCTGTCAGATATGGATGAACCAGGCGATCTAGAGCGTCCCCTGTCATCACCAGTGATGTTATCGCTATATCGTCGCCGTCTCTTTGCGCTGTAGCTCCGGTTGGGGCTGAGACTTTGACTTGGGCTCCGACGCCCAAGGGTACCATCTCTCCTTTTCTTCATATTCTCGCAGAATGAACGTGACCAACCATAGTATGTTTCCCCGTCGACAACTTCTCCCGTTGATGGGTCGCGGAAAACTGCTTGGCCAAGTTCATCAATCTCTACATCAATTCTCCCATCCAACGAATCCCCATTTGGGTTATAAATTTTGTCCACGTCATTTAGAAAGTTTTTCACTGCGGTGGCTAGAGACTCATCTGCAGGTCCTGCAAGAAACTGAAGAGGCTTTACTGCTTGTGGTCGGATTGGGACTGTTGAGTTGGGAATTATATGTGGCATTAGGTTCCCCGCTGGGAGTTCATGATATGGCGCGGACGGGTCTCCATGCGTCGCTGGCATTATGTAGGGAGCGTCCCTTGGAGAGGTCTTGTTCGGTGTATCTAAATCGAGGCCATTGGAAGCAGATTTTGCATTCAGCAAGTCAGGAGAAGAGGAATTATCCACCGTTTCACGGAGTTTGTTTATATAATCGCCGCTGTAGTAACTGTTACTAGCCCATATATCCAGAAGATCGCTCAATCGTTTGTGATGTTTTGGATTGTTCTCATGTCCAAAGCTTGCTGCCAGGCTAATAAGATCAACTAAAAAAGGTTGAAGGGAACCACTGAGGTTTGAAAAGGCGGACGTTGTCTGTTCATGGTATTTTGTGTGATGCAACAGGTCATTTAGCAAATATAAGATATGCAATCGTTTCCGTTTTGAAGAATTCTTTGGGCGCTCAGTCGCTCCCTGTCCAGCAACCAGTGATTTACCACCATGTTCGAAGGATCCAGATAGAGTAACAAGGTATTTGCCTAGAGCCCCAATCCTTGTTGACGAAGGGATCACATTTTTCAGAAGCCACGATGTGCAAGTCTAGTGGAGGTACCCCGATCAACGATTTAGTATACCAACCCATTCAGCGCTGACATGAGGAGTCATTGTTCAAACCTGGATGTTTCCTGAAGAGCAGTGCGTCACTACGCGGTCGAGTGATTCTTGGAAAAAGGCGATCTCATCGCGGTGGACGGAGGTGGGATCTGGTCGCAAAAGCCCAGCTGAGAAAGTGGCTTTTGCAATGGCAACTAGATGAGTCGTCATGACAAGAGTAGTTCTGCGTAAAGCGAACTTTGTTCCATCTGTATGTTGCGATAAACGTAGCTCGGTAAGCTGTGAAGTTCGTCGTTGTTGACTATGTGTTGGGCATTACTAGGTAGGGCTACACAGGCACGTGCCACCTAACGTTTGGACTATTAGGCCACTAGGGCAAAAGAGCTCAATCACCACCAGCGCCATGGTGGTATGAGGGTACGAATCACCCATTCCAATCCCCCCAACATGGACCAGCTGTGGGTGGTGGGACTGACGTAAGCCCTCCTAGCTCCGCTAGCCCCAAGGATTGGAGGTGAAACCTTGAGGATTAAACACAAAGAATTGATATTATCAACTACTTCAATCTGGTTATAACTAGTGGTTATACGGGGGGGGGGGGGGGTTTGGGTGGCGTTATAACCCATGTTACTATGTATGTTAGCCAAGCCCCACGATAACTTTTTAGTGTTGAATTATATTGTACATACATTCAACCCCACTTGATTCATACCGTACGAGCAGGCATCATCCTTCAAAAATAGATTTTTAAGCATCTCTGCTCTGTATTCTTCATCATGAAATCTTTAATTGACTGTACAGAGGTGGAGCAGCAGCTTCAGATCAGCAAAGATCTTTTTCATACAAAGAAAAAGCTCTGACTTTGACTCTGCAGAATTGATTAAAGAATATTAATAAGCAGTATCCTTTTTAAATAAAAAGAATGATAAATGAGTGGCATTGTTTTTTTACATTCAAATGGATCATTTTAATCTAACTTCTATTTCTTTATAACAAACTTCTGTAAAAACTGGCTTGAAATGATAAATGATGACCGAGAAAAACTGATTTGATTTT